GTAGGGCTGAGGGAAGATATGCTGTCACTGAAAGATTTAGGGAGGCAAAGGAAAAAGGACGGAAGGGAGGGAGCCTGCGAGGGCTGCGGAGAGCTCATGGAGGTGGGAAAGGAAAGCACAGGAAAAGGTGGGTTTTCACAAGCTGGTGAACGAGTATTACCTCAGAAGTTAATTGCAGCTGAAGAAATGCATGCACAGGGCTGCTGCAATGCTTTAACCCATGAAGCAGTCATTCTCCTTTTGCAAAATTGGTGCTGCTTTGTTCAGAGAAGCTGGTTCTGAGCCATTTTAATCAGCTGCTGTCTCAGGTTTATTGGAGTAAACTCAATACAAGTACTAAATTTAGTTGTTTTAACTACAAAGTGAGAGGAGAAAGATGCTAAAGCTGTTGGCTTCAACCTATAAACAATGAAACTTCACAGCTCATCCACAGAGGGAGAAGACAAAACCCAATTCAGTTACCATGATTTGTTTTTTTAAATTGTTTTACAATTCAGAGCTAGAAATGTCTAACTTGATCCTGCTTGGATCAAGTAAAAAAATCCACAACCAGTTGCCTAAATTCCCCTACAGAAAGCAAAACCCTAAGCAGCCCTCAGGGCAGACTGGGAGCAAACTAGGCAGCAGGCAAAAGGCTAACCCCTGTGGGCAGAGGAGCTCAGGGCCATACTATTTTTTTTAGCAACTCCTTCACACCCTGGGCCTGAGCACAGGAGCTCAGTTCAAGAATTCAACTGTTATAGGACAGTTTCTGGTACTCTCCTGGCATGGGACAACTTGCCTTCTCCTAAACCACCCTAATCACTGCCCAGGAGGCATCGCAGGCCAGTGGCCATTTCCAGTGGGCATTCTGGACATAGCAAAGGTAACCTGGAGGACAGGGGAATGTAACGGTATAGACACGGCCAGATACTGCCCAGTCAGCCTCAGCCGATGTGCCCTAGCACAGCTGACCTGACTAGCATTGATGCTGCTCAGGATTCCTGCTTCACACGTCTCTCTTCACTCCGTGCAACTCTGTTGTCAAACCACTGGCAAATTACACCTTTTTCAGTTGCAGAATTTTCAGCAGTATCATCAAGACTATCCTAGCTGCGGGTGAAGAGCTCCTCCATCTTGTGGCTGTCTTCTGTGCTTTTCCCTTCACAGGATTAGCCTCTTCCGGATCTAGTATTCTTGCTTCTTTCACTCCTAAAGGCATTCCAGTTGGAGAAACCCCTGCAATTGTGACTAGTCACACAGTAATATTTTGTAATTTACCAGGAAAATCCTTTAAAAGACAGCAGTGTTAAAAGATACTGCACCTCTAAAACCCCAGGTATATTGTCAAAGTGTCATGGTAGCCTACTGAGCACTTAAACATATGTTTCTGACAACGTTGGGATAGACGGATTTAAAGACGAGTGATAAAGAGTGGTATTGTGCTCACTTTGAAGAGAACAATAGAGACAAAGATCAATCAATGTACTTAATATTGTCCCTATAACATGGAGTAAAATACATATCTGATTGCCCACTTCCAAAGAAATTAAAACATTTTAACAAAGGGATATTGTAATGATCATGGCTTACCAGAAAAAAAAAAGGAAAAAAGAGATGCTAACTTTAAAAAAAAACAGTTTGGCTGTGAGAGCCTTGTGACTTACAAGTCACTGTACACTTACACTGCCAAGAAAAATGAAATAGAGCTAGAAATGCACCACTGCTACAAAAGTGAATACACTACATTCATTCCCTACAACACAGCTGGTGTCAAAGGACCACCTTACTCAGCATTAGGAGTGCTTGTTCTTACTGGACCTGTATACTCTGTCCAAAGCTGAAAAGACTTCTATAAATGTCCAGGAAAACTTGCAGAGTAACTGGTGACAATACACTGAAATAACAATACCCCAAACTATCAAGAAGGGCAGTGAGAAAAGAGGAGATGATATACCCCTCGAAAACATATTTCAAATTAATTTCAACAATGCACTCCACAAAAGTAACCTCATTTTGACCACCTCTTATTCTAGGAAGAACTAGGCCTGGGGGAAATTAAAAAAAAAAAAAAAAAAAAAAAAAAAGAGGAGGGGTATTAAAAGCTGAAAGCTTCTTCAGAAATATGTATTATGCTTTTTGAAATGTCCCTGATTTGAACAAGAAAAAAACCCCAGTCTTTCTGTTGTTAAGAATTCCAAACATGGCCCAAGATCACCCTGCTAACACAGAAAGAAAGCTTTTGGATATGAGAATCATATAGCAGAGAAACACAAAGTTTGTAGACCATCGTTACACCCACAAAAACTGAAACGCAGAATTGGCAAGCGAGTTGCCCAGCAGACATGAAAGAGAAACTCAGACACAGCCTCGAATGTGAGGAAAGGAATCAGCACAAGTGGGATGTCTCCTCCAGGCAAAAGGAACCAGACCATTATGAGCTTCCACCTGGATGATCACCAGCAATACAAAGACCCTAGTTTAGCATTTTACCCCTAAGGCCAGTACATTTAACTGGATATCTGGTGGTTCAGTAGCACAGCAGCACTGCTGGGCCAAATCCAAGTCACAGCATTCTGGCCCAGGAGTAAAAGTTGTTACCAAATGAAGCGTGCTGACAACATATGGAGGCCTGTGCTACTGGAGCAGTTTCATCCTCATCCAGAAAGAAAAAACCTGTAAGATTATGCCAAACACATGATTCAATTTAGGTCAGAGCTCTGCTGCTCAAAGCACCCTGGCCACTGATACTGCTTGGAACGGACTGGCTTGTTTTAGTGCTGACTTTACATCTTTTCAAAGGTTTTTCACAGGGGAAAGGATCATGTATTTTTTTCTTTAATCTGAATTCACTATGCATTAGGGAGCAGTTTACTACTAAATGTATTTATCCAGTCTGCAACACCTTTTTTATTCATCCTCATCCCAAAGTAACTTCAAGCACATCTGAAGCACTAAAGCTGAGGCCTGCAAGCTCCCTCTTTAAAGCATGTAAGCACCTAACACTTAATGGGCATAGAAGACACCCTAAAATGGTGACCCAAAAATTGCCCATCCACTGACAGCTAAGCTCCTGCCTTTGGACTCTTACCTAGACAGCTGTTACTAGATGGCATAAAGCTGGGATACGATGCTTATGTCCAACCTGATCTCCATTGATGCGAATGGAAAAATAGCTTCCATGGAAGCAGGGCGAGTTACAGGGGAATAGAGATAATGTAAGATCAGATTCAGGATTCTCATTTCCACTTTCACGTTTCTGTGTCAACACTGTACATGTGAGATTTATAAGTATTAATGGAGTTTTTTTTTTTTTTATAGATAGCCAACCACTCGTTTAGAGTGCAAAACATCTGGCTGCATAACATGTCATGCTGCAGCCCTGTACCAGTAAAGACCATACTTCTTACATAAAAGAAGGTATTCTGATTCAGTAAGAATTTTGTTCTCGAAAGGAATGGAAGCAATAAACTAAATGAGGATTAAATACCAGATCTTGTCATCCTTCAATGCATTAAAAGACCAAAATAATCAAGACTTTCAAATGCTATGTCAAACTGTGCAGAGCAGAAAAGCAAACTTATTGCTTGTTTTGGCACAGCAAATTCTTTGCAGCTTATACTTGTTATAAGTCAGAAAATACAACGTTGCATTTGCTAACCCAATAGATCATTTTCCTATCCAAAAAAGGAGAGCTTCTTTTGTAAACTTACCAACTAAGGACCATTTTGTGGGAAATACTGCTTTATCTAACTTCTCATTGTAAATAGTTATTTAACTTTTTTAAACTCTTCTTCAACAAAAGAATAATTTTGATGTTGAGTAATTAAGTGCATGTTTTGTCAAAAGAATAATATTTAAAGTTTTCTAGTGATATGTAAAAGATTAAATACTTCAAGTAAAAAGGATTATATCTGGACATCAACAATTACATATGATTATAACAGCAGGAGCAAAGTCCAAATGGCACTTCCAGTATTAGTCATTGTAGTAGACCTGACTTATTGTGGGAGACTCTGGCTTAGAGCCTGGAGTGAATGATCCCCTTGGAAATGATTCAAGGTAATTGGGAAACACCGAGAGGGCTCTGGCCTGTTACTATTAGTTAATGCCTATTGCTATGAAGAAGCATTTTGAAAGCACTGTCTGGGTCCAAGACAAAGAACATTCAGTAGTGACTGGTGACTGTGGGTGGCTGAAACAATTCAGTTGAGTCAGTCAGTGCTTACTGAAGATCAAGAACAGGAAAGCCTTTTCTACTTGGGCATCTAAAGCCTGAGATACCCTAAAAAAAGTAGTCACTACTCATGATCCCAGCCACTGAGAAACTAAATTTGCTTCCAGGCCTCAGTAGTCAGAAATGTTTTTTGGGAATTAAGTAAGAAACTCCATCTTGAAGTGAAGAAAATAACTGAAAATTATCAGACAAGTAAGCAAACCCGGATACTAACATCAGCTTTGATTCAATTATTGTTTCTCAAGCTGTTATTGTTTATGCTTTAGTGGCACTTAGCCTGTGACACCTTCAGATAAGAAGGAAAGAAAAGCCTATTTGTGAACATCATGATTGAAATGTTGGCTCTTTTGGTCTTTATGCTGCTTTATAACTTTATCTCCTTGTAGACACAAAAGGAGCTCAGAAGCAGTTCCAGACACTGTAAACACCAGTGTACTCCAGAGTGGCACATCCAATGGACCCTGGTGGCTTTACGTTTTGTGGTGGGACCCTGCAGTGTCCAGTAAAGTGTCTACTGTAGCTGTGACTGTTATCAAGGCATCCACAATGTCCCTCTGTCACTTGGATTTCCTGAGGAATGCACTAAAGAGGCACGACTAAGTCTCTTCCCTCTACCAACGCACCTCCTTCACGAAACTGCAGAGGCCTCTCCTCCTCTGTGAAATTCAGCTGAAAGCGTCTGATGTTATAAAATGTTGCGATGAGGGGACAGTAACATAGAACAGCCTTATTTGTTTAGCAAACTAGGCTAAAAAGTAAATCACACAGGCACTACCAGCCATACCTGATTATACCAAGAGGGTCTAAAACTTCTTCCTCCTCTTCCTCTTCTTTTTTCTCCCCTTTTTTGGCATTTTCCACTGATGAAAGCTGTGAGATTAAGTCAGGTGTCTTCTCCTCTTTGAAAAAATCCAATGCCTCATTTTCTTCATCTTCTTTCTCCTTGTCATCAGGAATGTTTTTACCCTTGAAGTCAAGGGCACTAGTAGATTTTGTTCCTGCAAAATACAGCAACGGATGCAAAACTGAGTACACAGGATAACAACTATGTTTTATTTAATACCTCGCACCTGTTCCTGATGGTTTTGTTTGGGGAATAAAGGACATGATCAGCTTTTGTGAAACTCTTTCAACATTCCTGACTGTCCCTTCTATCCACTGATTTGTCATTATATGTCTGATCTGTTTATTGATTGAAAGTAGTTAAGTAGAGAAAGACAGAGGAAATGAACTTTATCTGAGACACTGCAGGGCATGTCTAATCTGCTTATTTATGTTCCTTCTATAGTCAACAGAAACAATAGAATTCCCACATGGTGATTCATCCCATCCAAACAGAGTTTCCTTCTGAAGTGCCTGTTTCTCTCCACTAGCTACAGAGAGGTTGTAAATACTCTGCTTAGATGTAGGTAGCTAACTTTCATATAGTTAGTTGAGATGAAGTCTATTTTTTGTTACTAATTTAATTCTTTTGGGCTAAAATTAGACCATTGGACAGCACGAAAAAGTTTCCACAGCAGTTCTTCAACTTACACTCAAAAATGAAGCCTGCAGTTCTAAATCCCTTCAGTATGCAAGATCTATCCAAATGAGTAAATTCAGCAAAGAGAAACATGCACTTTGATCAACTCTTCTCACCATACTTGTTACATGCAAAGCCCAGGAGAATGAGGAGAGAACTATTCCTTGCTGTGGAGTCTCTGGATGTTCAGGAAAGCAATTTGAAATAATGAGACTAGCTAAAAATAGTCTCTTGAAGACCATGATGGATAAAATTCATGGTTTCATCCTTTTGACTGTTAAAGTAACATGGCATGGGAGACTCTTCTCACTCAGCTTTTCATGCTTGCATCTGCCAAACCACCCATGGCCGACTTCATTGACTCAATGTGGGTGTCTACTCTGAGCAAGTGATCTTATGCTCCCTGAATAGGCAAGAAAGTGCCGGTCAGGGTAGGCAGTGGATGTTAGGATGCTGCTTATCTTATCCGCACAGTCATCTGTGTTTTACCATGTTGATTCTCCCTACACACCCCTGAAGATATCGGCTATGTCTCCAGCATCTGTAAGGGAAGTGTACACAACTAGCTTGAGAATCTGCACTGTATGTACGGAATTCCACCTGGTTTGGTAGGGTGAGACTTCCATTATTCTAAGGCAGATTTCAATGGACAGGTCACATTACTTGCACCCAATCTGTCTGCAGTATAAAGACAGTCCAGACTAATTCAGCTGTAGACATGTGCACCATGGTTAGGTTAATCAGCATGCAAAGGTCAATTGACACAAATTCTGAATTCTCAGTGCAAGGGGTCTACTTTCTCAAGAATAATACCAGGGAAAAAAGAAAACAAAACAAATCCAAAACCTTATTAGCAAAAGAATTTTGCCAAATATTATGCAATTTTGCCCCACTTGACTTTCAAAAGCTGCCAGTCTCACAGAACTTCTAATCTGGCCACACTTGACACTTTCACAAAATCGGCTGTTCACACATGGTGACTTGATAGCACCTTGTAACTTCACTTCCTTAAAACTAATGCTGCACTGAGAATCCTGCACAGCACCAGACTGGAGCATTCCCTGCTCAGCAGCTCTCAGCTGAATTAAGAGCTGAGAGCCCATCTGTTCCATTCATTCAAAGACTCCCTGCTATGCCCAAGGAACTTAAGAAAGGAACTATATGAATCACTGGAAGAGGCAACAAGAGCTGGACATGAGGCTAAAGGGAAATTTAAAATAAATTAATAAAAAGAGGCCAAAGAATGGGTTTAACTAATAAAGAATCTTCCTTTTATTCAAATCTTTCTTAGTGTCAACAATTTGCTTTACACTAACAATATATTTATAATATTTAGCCATCTAAACTTGTGTGTTCTGACTCACAGGTATATGCCTAAGGAAAATCAGAGACAGTGAAATAGATACCTTCAAAGCAAGCACTGTGGTATCAATGTTTCTGAATGAGGCATACGTCCACTGAGAAGAGGAGAAAACACTAGCAAACATGACTATGCAGCACCGTAAATGCACAAGAGGATATATTCAGTGACAGCCTTCATTCTGGCATTCTCTAGTTTCTGACTACCTGAGTCCAGAACTTAGTAACACTTAATAGCACATTCATGGGAGAGGGGACACTCACATCTTCTCGTTACCTAAAAATTCCAGTAACTCAGGACTCGTTGCTAGATCCTCATCTTTTGAGATAAATTTCATGATATCATTGAACATAGCTCTTCGTTCACAGATGTCAGATTCCCCCACGAAGAGAACTTTTCTAGGCAAGAGTGGAAGAGAAGCCTGTGGATATCGTGCTGACAGTTTCTGGTAGAGCTCCTCTATCTCGCTGTACTTCTTGGAGACCTGCAATGAAACATGCTGTCCGGGTAAGTTTCTTTACAGGGGAGACATAAGCAGCAAAGCAGCAGTTTAAGCACAGTGAAACATTAACCCTGGAAACTGAAGTGGAAAAACATGTATTACCAAGGAGCTTTACATGTAGTCTAGTAAAAGCTTGTTATCTACACAGTGAATCCCCAAGCATTGCTGCTGGTCTTCTAATTCTGTTATTAAAATCCACTCCCTAATGGAATTGAAATTCATTGCCAGATACCCAGCGTCCATTTGTCTGACTCATCAACTAATGAAATACTGGGAAGGTCACTGCTCCAGATACTCTCCTCTGACAGCAAATATCCTCACCCACTAAAAATGAACCGTACCATGCTCAGCCCTGAGAGAGGGAAAAGAAGCCCGTCCAGGTACATATCTGATGGAGAAGGCAGCCTCAATCTTTGCGCCATTGGGCCAGAAGACCCATTTCTCAGCCTTGGTGGGCTTCAGTGCCCTTCTGACTATTAAGACCTAAAAAACTGGCAGGTTTGCTGCCCTGCAGAGCACCTAAGGACAGAAACCGAAGGGCAAAGTCCTCAGCTGCCCCCTGACTATTCTGTTTATCCATGAGAAAATAAAAACCAACAACTTGGCCATGGTCTACAGGTTCTCATACAGGGAGAAGATGCCAACAGTAAATGGAGTCATTCCTTCTGCAGACAAAGACAGGAAGCCTGAGGAAAATTAAGGTCCGAGATATTAAAAGGAAAGCAATAACCATGGGAATGCTGGTTAGAAATGGTGTGACTTTTATGCCACGTTAAGGTTTGAATTCAGTACCTTAAAAAGCCAACAGACAAAACCCATATGCAAACAAAACACTATCTCTAAGTGACATTACAGGGACAATGGAGAGTGACTGTCATGCTCTGTCACTCTGGTATTATACAGACAACATATTCGTCATGGCCCTCCATGGCCCCATTAATACGTGTCAATGAATACAGAGTTAGATTAAAAAAAGATCCAAAAACCTAGTGCTAGTGGAATATGTATGGCACAGATCCTCTACTAGGGTCCAGCTCTTATCCTCCTGTAACACGTCAGTGAACTCTTGTGGAGTGAAACCTAATTAATACTGCAACAAAAACAATGGAGACACTCGAGCACCGCATCTTGGGATGGAAGAAGGCAAAGTTCTTCCACCAGCACAACGATAAAAGAAAGTCAACCCAAGAAAGCACACAGAAGTAGAAGGGGAACAAGTTAAAGATTAACCTAGAATCCAGAAATTGCATCTATACTAGCAAACTAAACAGTATCAGGGCACGTTCCCAGGTACTGGAACCTGAGAGTGTCTATTAGGAACCTTATAGTGTCTACTGGAACCTGATAACGTCTGGCACAGTTTTCACTCTGGACAGCTAGCACTATCCCAGATAATTTTGCAGCCCAAGATTCAGCCTGGTACAGAGACCACACAGTAGCCCGTTTGGGTACCGATCCCCACTGCAGATGGTAAGAAAGTTTCATACTATGGATGCAGCCAGACTGTGCTAGCTGCCCTCCAGGCCAGAGAACAGGTCCTGACATTAACAGACACACCTCAACTAGTTTACTAAATTAGATGCAGGCATAAAGAGCAATAATCAACTTAGCTTTCATGCTTCCCTGCCTTTTGCAGTAATTATTAACCAAGCTAGCTGATTTGAAAAACATTTGCATTTCAGCTGTACAACGTTCACTACTGTTCACACCCATAGCGTCCAGTCACAAAAGGCAAGCAGCTCTGTAAGAAAGATGTGAGGCACAAACCCAAACCTGAGTCAACAGGGGAATGAAAAACATGAATTTTAGACTTGTGTCCTGTAAGTAGCACAGGTAAGTGTGAGCAACACTGTGCTCCATGTGCAGGATCTGACATGCAATTCAGCAGCCAAGCACTAAAGTGATGGCAATAAAGAGATGTTCCCAGAATAAGACAATCCTCCCTTTGAAAGATACCCCAAAAAGAGAGAGGAAAGCAATTCTGGAATTTCTGAATTTCTTTACATTTCTAGTTTGCTACGTACCAGTAGCAGTCTGAACAGTACGGTACCAGATCCCCTCCCAAAAATACTACGTTAGTACAAATGTAAGGGCAGTGAGGAGTTCACTGGTACTTTTTCAAAAGAATAAACAATATTACCCTCCACCCAGAAAAAAAAAAATCAAATCTGATTAGTGGAAAATGTTTAACAGTTTACTAATTTCAATAATAAATAACTAATTAATGTCTGAAAGCATTACAAGACAGGAGCCAATCAACAAGATTATGCCAAAACAGCTTTAAAATACTCAAAAAGTAACACTGAACTGAGACATACAAACTTATTTCTTTCCCCACTTAATTTTCATTCCTCTTCTATCAAACTGTAAATTATTCATAAATCTCAATTTAGGTTCAATGGTGTAATTAGACATAAAGTAAACGCACACCCTCGCATCCTATCGCTAATTGAGCCTTTGTGAATCTGCGTGGGCTTTGAACACCACCACCAACCACAACACGCAACACAGCATACAAAATGTGATGACACTATATCCAAAGCATACTAATATGCTACCCAAAAGCCTGCAGCACACCACGCGAGCTGATTTCCAACAGTGTCAGGATGCCCTCTGCTGGGATAACCTACCACACAGGCAAGATGTTAAACCTCCAGCCCAAACCTTTCCTCACTTACCTAAGACGTAAGCTGGCCCCAGCAAGCCCTGCCGGCTGCTGTCCCTCTACCTCAAACCCTGGCTGCCACTGGCTCCTCTTTGTCTTTGCTCATCCTTACCTTGGTTTTGGTGCTGGAAACGCAGCAATAAGACTGGCTGAATCCAACAACCTCAGACTGACGCATTTAGAATCACAGAATAGCTTGGGTCGGATGACCTTTAAAGATCATCTAGTTCCAACCCCCCTACCACGGGCAGGGACATCTTTCACTAGACCAGGTTGCTCAAAGCTCCATCCAACCTGACCTTCAACGCTTCCAGGGCTGGGGCATCCACACCCTCTCTGGGCAACCTGGGCCAGTGTCTCACCACCCTCATTGTAAAAATTTTCTTCTTTATGTCTGATCTAAATTTACCTTCTTTCGGTTTAAAATTGTTGCCCCTTGTCCTGTCACTAAAGGCCCTAGTAAAAAGTCTTTCTTCATCTTTCTTATAGGCCCCCTTTTATATATTGAAAAGCTGCAATAAAATCTCCCCGGAGCCTTCTCTTCTCCAGGCTGAACAGCCCCAACTCTCTCAGCCTGTCCTCATAGGAGAGGTGCTCCAGCCCTCAGATCATCTTTGTGGCTCTCCTCTGGACCTGCTGCAACAGCGCCATGTCCTTCTTATGTTGGGGGCCCTGGAGCTGGACGCAGGACTCCAGGTGGGGTCTCACCAGTGCAGAGTAGAGGGGCAGAATCCCCTCCCTCACCCTGCCGGCCACGCTGCTGGGGATGCAGCCCAGGATGTGGTTGGCTTTCTGGGCTGCGAGTGCACATGTGGCTCTCCTTGTTTCATATCAGCAGCACAGAGGCACTGTGGGGACCTTACACAGCGCTGGCCAGGTCTCACAGAGTGTATTTTCTCAGGCCAAGTCCCATGCGTCACCCAGAGCATTCTCACACCTTTCCAGTCAGGAAGCACTGTTCTGCTGTGACAATTGTGGACCCTTTCAATTTGACGTCCTCTGAAAATTTTCCAGGAGAAAGGCGTATCAGCATGTAACAAAATTAAATCTTGCTTTTCCTGGTTACCACTCACAAACCTTTGAAAAGAGCTGATGGATTCTATGGCCCAAAATTTCAGGATAAAAAACACATGCTGCTTTAAAAGCCATTTTATCATTCCTGTTAAGCAAACAAAGACCCATTTGATTAATATTCAAATATTTTTCTTATGCTGCCTATAATTCCACTAGGTCTTGATCCTGCAATTATCCTCTCCCCCTCCACGCCTCTAACTCAACTCCATGAATACTGGAGCTAAACCCCCACCACCTGTAAGTCAGCCTGAGTGCACGCACTTCAAGGAGTTCTGTCAAATCACAATATCAAAGGCTCAATCTACTTCACTTCAAAAGAGTTAATCATGCAAATACAGCAAAGCATGTAAATATTTGCCAGGTCGAGACCCTATTTGCCTGTAACAATTAACATCCAACATAAAACTAAGAGACAGGGATGGGTTTGAATATTTTTTGCACCGGGAACAAATAAGTAAGTTGAATATGATCAAATATAGCTAGAAGGTTAAGAAAACCACTGGGAAGTTCAAAGTGAAAGCCTGAAGTTTGCTGCTAATCCCTCAAATCTCATGCATGTGCCTTGCCCCCATCTTCAGGAGAACCTCGTGCATGAAAATACACACACGAGAATGCCTGGAGGATACGAGTCTGGGACTCTCAGATGTGCGTAGGAAAATTTGATCCCACTCAGTACTAATGGGATTTCATGCCTCCTTTCCTTAGGCTCTTTTTAATGCCCCATTTCTGGCCTCAAACTTGTCTTCATATGCTTCATATTACTGCAAGGATTTCAAGGAAATGGAGGCCTTGGATAGAGCAAACTCAAGCCCTTTGGCCAGCCAATGCACACTAGTGAAGAGCACTCTTGATTTTGTAGTATTACATGAAACACTCATGGCTACTGTAACTTTCTTTTTCCAAAGCCGACTTCTTAACAGTCACAAAACGGAGGGTCAGCAGCCTTGTCCCTTACATAACCACCAGCTCTGGATTCAGGACTCAAAAGCATCCCTTCTCATAGCCAGCACAAACCAAGCTTTCACTTAGAGACTCCCAATTCAAGCCATACCAGAATTAATGTTACTTGGTGACCTCGTGGGTATGCATTATGGTAGATTTTAATTACATGACCACATGCTGTTCTCCCCACCTGTTTTAGCCAGCAGAAGAGCAAGCACTCTAACATTTCTTTGTAATCAACATGAATTCTTAAGGGTTCCTGAACCTGTTGCTACACTAAGCAGGGATCCCCCCCCCCATC